TTTGATGATGAATGCTGCTCCATTCCTCTTGAATTTGTTGTTCCTAGCATAGCATACCATATGATTATTGCACTGAAAATGGCCAACATTTCAACTCACTAATGCCTAGGATATTAAACTTTATGTTCCATTTCATTGTTGACAACTTCCAATTTTCCTAGATTCATCATCTGTACATTCCGTGTTCTGATTAGTAGTGGATATTTACAGCTGTTTTTCCTCAACACTGTACTCCATTCTCGTCATCATAGTCACCTCTACTATGAGGAGGCAGTTTTTCCCCAGTGGTGTTTTGAGTGCTTTCCATTATGAGGGACTTATCAGCCAGCATTGTATCTGACACCATTCCACTGCTCTTCGTAAGGTTTTCAACAGTTAAACATTCAGAGGTGGTCTTCTCTCCATCTTCTTAGTCTGTCTTAGTCTGAAAGCTCTGCTGAAACCTGACCACCATGATACCAGTGGCATTACTTACAGAATCACAGTAACATGCAAGCCACCACAGTATACAAGCTTATAGACAAGTGGTAGTCTCTGTACTGTAGGGTTGCTATAAATCGAAATCCACTTGAAGGAAGAGGGTTAAGTGTCTGTTCCTTCCCATGTTCGTCACATCCGGACTTAAACAACAACAAATTTATTGAGAATACCTAAACTCACCCTCTAAATATAAAAATAAATACAGTGCACCATTATAAAAATATGCATGACACCAACCATACCTCCTACAACACTCTCCACTCTACTGGGTTCAATAATTCATTGCAGTGGCCACACAGGACTCAGACACCATATTCAGAGTTAAGAGGTTTAATAGGAAAGTTAACAGGTTACAATTTAGGGTCAGAAATGCTCAGGGCACTATTGTTCCAGTCAGCTGCTGATAAATGCCCGTAGGACACACCACACTGCCATAAGTTTCGGCCTGAAGACACTGCTCTGGCTCCATAGGTCAGCAAGCCTAGCTTTCCCACTTAAGTGCCTGGAAGCACCCCACTCTGCAAGCAAGCTTTCTGCCCAAAGTCATTCAGCTTTACTTGCTCTTTGGGCTGGAAAGTCCACTGCTTTGTCTCATGCTTTGGTTCTTGGTTCTGCTTCTCTGTCACTCCTCCAGTTTCCATTTTGTGATCTTGAGTCAATGTGCAGGGATCTCAGAGTCCAAATCTTATTTGGTAGCAAGATTCCCCCACCACCACCCCAATTCTGAGATGGCTCATTTTATACCCATCTTGGAGTTTCAGGTTTTTATAATTACACTTAACTCTGTTAACATTCACAGCTGAGTAGTCATCCTATCAGTATCTTCTCCCACCTTCTCTTACCCAGACTTCAGCAGGGCAAAAATATTGTTTGGTGGGAGTTATAAACTGTGGCTAGAAGAGACATTAAGTAATTCACTATACCACACCTATTAAAAATTATATTAACAGAATAATTTAGAGAATATGCTGATATCATGTTCCTACTTCTTTTGAGTAAAAAACTCATTGCTTACCAGTTAGTTTCAACTAATAGATACCATATTGTTATTAAGTGCCGTCGAATCGGTTCTGACCCATAGCAACCCTGTATAAGGTTTCCGAGGATTGGCTAGTGAGCTTGAACCGCCAACCTTGTGGTTCAAACCAACTTTGCAGTCCAGTGCATTAACACACAGAGCCACACCAGGACTCCATTGGCCCTATAGGACAGCAGAACTGCCCAAGAACCATTGCTTTTAAGGAAGTTTTGTTTTTGTTGCCTTCTTTTTTTTTCTGATCCATGCTTTATTAACAGAAAGCCAGCATTCTGGAGGATGGGAGAATAATTCTCAAGACAGTCCTGTCCATTACCAAGAGCAGGGTAAGTTACATTTGAATGTACACTTAATCTATTTTAACATCAAGATAGCATTCTTTGGGAAATGGAAACAATAAATCAATAAACTTCCTCAAACACTCTACCTTTAGGGTCTTAGCTGAGATAACTATTTGGGTGGGTATAAGCACTTCCTATTCTCCTTGTCCTGTTCTGTTTCTAGAACCATATGGTCATCTTATCCAGTTTTTAAACTTCCTCATTTGCAGGGTCCTCATATGAGACCTAATGAATAAACCGACTCCATTTTGTTATATCGGTAGATCATGCTATCATTCCTCACTCTGATTTTTAGATTTCATTTCTACAAAATTTGCTTCAGTTGAAAATAGTTTCTTTGATCCCAAGCATTATTTCTTGAATTAAAAGAACTAAGCTTAGGTCATGAAAAACAAGTTTTACAAAGGTCAGTATAGTTAGCTGAGCATTGAATACAAAATAAACTTTGACCCTCACTTTTAACATGGGTAGCTACTTTAGGTAACTAAGACAACTAACTTTCATTATCTGCTCTAAAGAAGGCTTTACACTTTGGTGATGGTCAGAGAGGTGGCATTAAGGGTCTTTACCATTGTACAGGCAAGTCTGTTGATTTTCACATTTAGGGTCAAGAACATAGCAAGCATTACAAAAAGGGGTAGGGTCACATGCTCAGCTGGGCTGAACTAATATCAATCAAATGGAAATCAAGTGAGGGGTGCACTAGCAATGAGGTCTACCAGTCAGGTCCTGTTTCTGAGGTAGGAAGGTAGTGAGTCTTCCAAATGTCTAGGGCCCTTACTTCCCCTATCCTGCCCCAGTAAAGCTAGTGGGAATGTAGGAGAAAGCCTTAGTTCCACTGATGAAAAACTACCCTGCTGGAGCTGTGTTACAGAAGTACTAACTCCAGTGAGACAGGAGATAAAACGATTTTTCAACTTCAACATATAATCCCCCTTCAAACAGAAATCAGACGCATTCATTACATGCTTGCCCAGGTATATCTAAACATTTTCATCCTGGCGATAGGGGATTAAATCTGAGTATCCAACCCATAGTAGGAGAAAGAAGATTAATATAGCCTTAATCACAGCTTGAGATCGAAGGAAGTATTCATGATCCAATGTTGTCCAAGATTTTTCTTGACTCATGTGTGGTGAGTCCAGGTCTTGAGGCCTGTGAGTTTGAGAGCAGTGGATAGTCTAAGAACCAGTCCACTTCTCTAACTGGGAGTCAGGTCCGTCTTTCCATATTTTGAGCCGAACAGGATTTCCAAGCTGAAAGTGGTGAAGGTTACCTACCTCTAGTGGCCTTTAGGAAAACAATAATGGCCCGAGACTTCTTATGCTCTCAGCTGTTGCATACCTTGAGGTAGATTCATGCCAATTGCACTGCTGAATTTCTGCAATTTTTTTCTAATACCGGGTGCAGGGAAGGCTGTGGGGTCTTGGAGCATGATCGCCAGAAATGATGCCAAACTGAATCGAGGATTTGCCACCTGTCAGTGTAGTCAATCACAGAGACAGGGAGAGATCCGATCCAAGCTTTATTAACAGAAAGCCAGAAGTTTGGAAGACAGGAGAATAATTTCTGAAGACCGTCCTATCCATTACCAAAAGCAGGAGCATTATATAGGGTAAGTTACATTTGGGTGTCTGTTTAATCCATTTTTCTCTTGCCTTCCATTTTGAAATTGGAAGTATACCATAAATAATATAAAAGGAGCTCTGGTGATGCTATAGTTAAAGCCATTCAGCTGCTAACCTTGTTGGGTTTTTTGGTTTTTGTTTTTTAATTCTATTGTGATTTGAGGGAAGGTTTATAGACCAAATTTGTCTTCCATGCAACAATTCATACACATTTTGTCCCGTGCTATTGATTTCAATCCTCACAATGTTATAGCACTCTCCCTATTCCCTCCTTGTATTTTCCGTTTCCATTCATCCTTTTTTCCTATCCCTTCCTTCCTTCTGAGCATTATTCCTGGGCAAATGCTGCCCTTTGATCTAGTATGGTTGGTTGGTTGTTCTAAGAAATACATACTTCCCTGGTATTGCTTTACCCTGTAGGTCTGTCTCTGGAGCTCCAGTGGTGCTGTAGGATAAGTATTGATGTAGGATAAGTATTGAACTGCTAACTACAAGATCAGTAGTTCAGACTCAGCAGCCACTCCACAGAGAAAGACAGGGATTTCTGCTCCATTAAATATTTCCAGCCTTGGAACCCCTATATGGGGGTCACTATGAGTCAGAATCAACTTGATAGCAGTGGATTTTTTGTTTATAGGCTGTCTGAAGGGTGGCTAAGGGCCATAGTCTTAGAGGTTCCACCAGTCTCCATCAGACCAGTAAATGGAATCTTTTTATATGATTTTTCACTTTGTTGACAAGGTCAAATTTATGAGTTACCCATGAGAGGTGGAGTGGGAATGGCCAAAAGACCTTGAGGGTTTCCTGGGGGACCTGGCTTGGGCACCTGCATTTTATCCCAGCACATCCTAAAGCTCAGCCCAGGTGGAGGGCCCCCTCTTAGCCCTATGGGTCATCTGGACCAATGTTGTCCATGTGCTCTCCAGAGATGAGACCACTTGTGTAGAAGAATGAGTTCTGACAAAAGGGCCAGCAGCCACCCCATTTATTAAGACCCATTTGTTCTTCCCAGCATGGACATGAGGACAAAATTGACCTGAGGTAATTGGGGTATTCTCCAAACCAAAAATCCAAACTCATTAGTGTAGTCAATTCTGACTGCAGTGACTCTATATGACAGAGTAGAACTACCCCATAGGGTTTCCAAGACTGTAATGTCTACAGGGGCACCCTGGTGGTACACTGAATAAGCACTTGACTGCTAACCAAAATGGTTGGTAGTTGGAATCCACCTGCCACTCTGTGAAAGAAAGATGTCTCCTTCTCTAAAGATTAACTTGTTGAGTAGTTTAGATGTCTTCAAGTGTTTCTAATTGATTTGTCTTGCAAGGGAATTTTTGTGTGTCTGATTTGTGTTAGTGGAGGGGTTTGGTTGGCAATGTGGCTCTATGCTGAGTGTCTTCTTGTCTTCTCTGTAGGAATCAGCATTGGCAGAGGTGCTGCCGGCACATGAGTAGCCCCTGAACACTCTCCTTGCCATTCACCAGAAGCCAGGGTGTTGCAGCATTAAGACAAGATGAAGACTGTGCTCATGGTTGCAGAAAAGCCATCTTTGGCCCAGTCCATCGCCAAAATTCTTTCTCGAGGTAGGCAGACCAAGCCACTGCCGCATACTGCATTATCCCCTTGATTGCTTGTGTATCAGACTAGTGTGATCTATAGGGTTGTCATTAGCTGATTTTTGGATGTCAGTCTCAGGCCTTTCTTCCTTGTCTGTCTCAGTCTGGAAATTCTGCTGAAACCTATACAGCATCATAGCAACATGCAAGCTTCCACTAACAGCTGGTGGTAGCTGCACATGAGGTGAATTGAATGTGAATTGTAACTGGGTCTAGTTTATGGAAGACAGGAATCCTACCATTATGCTACCACCTCAGATGCACACTAGCCTGTACTTAACAATTTTGGTCTGTATGCCTGGTCGTTTCTTCCCAAAGTGTGATTTCACTGCCAGGAAGATTCAGGACAGGTCAGCAGACACTAGTGCGGCTCCTTGGAGGGAGTCATTGTCTTGCCCCAGCATGTGACCTGTCCACATTGCAGGACTAGGTCCCCGAGAGAACAGGGTCCACTTAACAGTGTAGTAGAGGTACAAACAGGTGACTGATCAGGTTGGGCCACAAATCATAGAACCTAGCTGGAGAGGACTAAGGCAGAAAAGGAAGTTAGGAGGAAGAAGGCACAGCCCAGTAGTCACTGGCACCGTAACTACTGAGCATGCACCACTGTCCCCAGGACTGCACTCTACTATGGCTACAGTCACTAACCCTCACAACCCCTACACCTTTCCATCACTTGGGTGAAGCCAGTGGACCATTTCCTAGCCTCTTGCATTCCTGTACACCAGAGAACTGGCTTCCCCTCGTCATACTTTGGCACTGGATTATTTGGTGATGTCCTATGTTCCTTCATATTTTGGGCTTCCCTGCAAACAAGAAGGGCATCTGTGTCGTTGGTACCAGAAACAGTAGACATCTGCCCTAGCCTCACCTTGGGGAAAGGACCCCAGTACAGTAGGTTGAGAAGCCAGGGTGCCAGAGGGGAAAGGAAGTGGGATGTGTAGTCCCAATCCCCAGAGCAAACACTATGGGACTTAATAACCAGGGGGTCCTCAGTGATGGTCAGGTGAAGGGAGTAAACTGGAATCAAGAGTGTAAATGGAGAAATGGAACCAGGCAACCTAGGGAAGAGGTGGAATGAGTGATCTTACTTTGTAGGGATGATAATCAATGACATGAAGCAAACTATGTATGAATCATTGAATGGAAAACTGATCTGCAAACCTTTACTCAATTCACAATAAACATTCCAAAAAAAGGTGTGCAGAGTAGCAAGGGAACCAAGTATCTGCTCTTCTGAGGAGGTCTGGGGCAGCTTGCTCCCAGGCGCCGCATCATAAACAGTGACCTCTCTAACTGAGAAGGAGATCAGCAACCACTCTGGGACAAAAGGACTGGCCTGATCCTCTGCAAGTGGGCTGACCCTCTGCAGCATCCAAAGCATGGCCAGGGCCATGTCACCATGAGTTTCTCCTCACCAGGGACCATGGCCTCACACAAAGGGCTAAATGGAGCCTGCTCTGTCCACGAATATACAGGGACCTTCGCTGGCCAGCCCGTCCACTTCAAGATGACATCTGTCTGTGGTCATGTGATGACCCTGGATTTTCTGGGTGAGGCCCCTGTCTTTCTCTATCCTTCAAAGGACCCTGCATGTTGTTCTCTGGAGGGCTGGGTGGGAGAGCCCTGAGAGAGCTGTGGAACTGAATAGTTCTATCCAGAGTCATAAGTCCTGAGGCTGGTAGATCAGAGAGCAGGGCCTCAGACTCCCTGATGCACCCTTCTGTCACTGCATGGACCCCTCCTGTAAAGATACAGGTGGTGGTGCCCAACTCGGTAGGAGCCCTGGCCAAGTTCCTGCTAGCATGGCTGAAGTCTTCTACCCTCATTCATTCATGTCCACAGGAGGGACAGGCAAATGGCTCCTGGGTCTAGAGAAAAGGCCCCTGGTTGATACCCTGTGCTCTGGCTTCTAACCTGACAGCTCTGACCAGGGACCAGGGACCCATAACTGGGCCTTTGCAAATTTCCAAGTCTTGTGGATAAGTGCCATCAACCCCTCAGGGTTGGCTGAGGATTCAGTATGAAGAGGAAGGTAGTATTCTGGGCACAGAGTTTGGCACATGAGTTGCCTCAGTGGTAATTCTTATTGCTCAGTGACAATAGCAGCAATGGTTGTGTGACCAGGTATTGGGCCTCAAGCTATAGCACCAACTGACAAAGTGCGGAGCCAGAATTTGAACTTGACTCTAGGCAACTCCACTGTCCTGGGCTGTAAGAAATGGGCCTAAATGAAAGTCAGAGGGCTAAGCAAGAGCCTGATGTTACTTGCAGCAGAAGTAGCTGCATATGAGGCCCAAAGAGTTTGATTTTACATGGGATTGACTGAGCACCTGCTGTAGACTAGACACAGTTGGCATACTAGATTGTTACAGGAAACCCAGGTTGGGAGAGAAGGCACAGCATGAGCATGAGTGGTGTAATTAGGTGCCCTCGCAAAGGAAACAAATCCTAAGGGACAGTGCTTCTATCCTAAGGGACAGTGCTTCTAACCACAGAAAAAATCCAGAGATGAGGTTATTAGCAGCAGGTCTTTCCCAGAGTGCTCTGGGCTCTTAGGGTGGCTCTGAGGTAGAATGTGGGCCCAGCAGGGGAACAGAGGAAGTTGAAGACTTCCTGAGCTCACATCCCAGCTCTGCCTCCAGCTGTCTGACTAACCATGGGCCTATAGCTCTCCAAGCCTCTCCTTGTTTGAGAAATGATTATGACTTTGGAGAGTGAACCTGAGCTATGTGACTCCAGTATCATTGTGGTGCTACTTGCAGGAAAGTACAACAAGTGGGACAAAGTGGATCCCGCTGAGCTATTCAGCCAAGCACCAACAGAGAAGAAAGAAGCCAACCCCAAGCTGAACATGGTGAAGTTCCTGCAGGTATGTGGGCCAGAGCCATGAGACAGAGTGGGGAAAGGTCCCTACCTACCTTCACTCAGACAGAACAGTCCATGTATCCTTCTCCCACTGTGGACCAGTTTTAGTTGCTATCTCATCAACTCCAACTAATGGCAACCTGGGTATGTTAAAGGAAAAGCTTATGTTTCATGGTTTTTAAATAGCTGAGTATTTGGTAGTAGATTGCCTGGCCTTTCTTTCAAGGTGCCTCAGGGTCAACTGAAACCCCCATCCTTTAGGTTAACAACTGAGCATGCTAATGTTGGCACCATCCAGGGACAACCCATCTTAGACAGGAAGCCTCTATGTCAACACCCCTGGCTGGCCTGTGAGCCCCCTCCAGGACCACTCTTCCCCGCCACTATCAGGGACCTAGCACCTGTCACCCCATCTTAGAGAATAGGAGTTCTACTTTCAGATAGCGAGTTCGTTTTCATCATAGAAAACTGGAAAAACAAGTAAAGTCTAAAAGAGCTACCATTGTCACAAAACTCAAGATGAGCCCTGTTGCCATTGCAGCCTGGTTCATTTCAACCCTTTTTCTATGCAGAGTTTTTCAGGGATAGGATCATATTGCATAGTTTTGTGTTCTGTTTTTTTTTTTTTTTTAAATCTAAAACACAACAATTCTGAACTCAGTTCTGAATGGAGCATCTTGGAGCCTGCACTGAGCACACCATTTATTACAAGTTGCCATTGAGTGTATCACAATTACAGCTCACAGGCATCAGGGTGGAACTGTGCTCCGTAGAGTTTTCAGTTACTAATGTTTCAGAAGTAGATCGCCAGGCCTTTCTTCAAAGGTGCCTCTAGTGGACTAAAACCTCCAACCTTTCTGTTAGCACAAAGCATGTTAACTGGTAACCATCCAGGGGGTCATAATCCTTTTAATGAGGCTCCAGCCTTGGGCTCTGGTTTGCTGCCTGTCCTAGAGAGGGCCTGAACTGTCAACTGGCTTTGCTGGGGCATGGGTTTGAGGGACCTGTCACCTGCTGACACTGTGCCATGCAGGTGGAGGGTCGGGGTTGTGACTACATCGTACTATGGCTGGACTGTGACAAAGAGGGCGAGAATATCTGCTTTGAGGTGAGTATGTCTGTATTTCTCCTCACATCAAAGCATACTACCTGCCCCAAACTGACTCAACATTACTTTCCCTAGAACACAGTAGGGAATAAACCAAGTTGATGTGAAAATTCTATCCTTGATTTACAACAACAGCAGCATAGGAGTCTTGGTATGGTGCCATAGGATAAGCACTCTACCTCAAGGTTGGTTTGAACTACAAGGTCAGTGATTCAAACTCACCAGCCGCTTCTTGGAAACTCTATACAGGGTTGCTATGATTCAGAACTGACTCAACGGCACACAACAACATACGATCTTAACAGGCAGTGGTTAAGGGTGACTATACTCATTCTGTGGGTAGTGTAGATGAAACAAACATTTCAGACCGATATAGGAGGGGGTGTTCAGAGTGGGGCTATCGTAAGAAGAAGGTTGCTTTTCAGAGTCCCGGGCCCAGTGTGACACCTCTCCTGCAGTGTGCCTCATCTCTCTCACCTCCCACCTTGCCTTCCCTCCTCCAGCTTACCCCCATCCCTACAAGGAAGAAGGGACAGCTTCCTGTGAGTACCCAGGCCCTGCTGAGTCACAATGCCATTCCCAGACTAAGACTGATCTCCTCACTTGGTGCCTTCATGCTGGTACCTTAACTGTGGCAGTGTAACTCTGTGCCCCCACTTACATCCTGGCATACCTCATATTCAACATAGTCACACCTTCACACACACACACAGGCTGACAGACCCTCATACCTAACATACAGACTGGACACCCTCATACTTACACAGACTGGCTCACCTTCATACCTCATGCACACATAGGCTAGCACACCCTTACACTCACAGAGAGGTTGATTGTTGTTAGGTGCTGTTGAATAGGTTCCAACTCGTAGCAACCTTATGCAAAACAAAGAAACACGGCATGGTCCTTCACCATCCTCACCATCGTTAAATTTGAACATTGCTGCTGCCACTGCCACTCCATCTCATTGGAGATCTTCCTCTTTTCCGCTGACCCCATACTTTACCAAGTATGATATGCTTCTCAGGGTCTGGTCGTTCCTTATAATATGTCAAAAGTATGAGAAGTCTCACTATCCTGGCTTCTAAGGAACATTCTGGCTGTACTTCCAACACAGGTTTGACTGTTTTCTAGCAGTCCATGGTACTTTAATATTCTTCTCCAACATAATAGCTCAATTCTACGGTCTTCTTATTCATTGTCCAACTTTCACTTACATGTGTTGCTGTTGTTATGTGCTGTGGAGTCCGTTCCGACACATAGCAACCCCGTACAGGGTTTCCGAGGCAGTAAATCTTTACAGGAGCAGAAAACCTCATCTTTCTCCCGCAGAACAGCTGGTAGTTTCGAACAGCTGACCTTGAGTTTAGCAGCCCGATTCGTAACCACACGCTGCCAGAGCTCCTTTCTTATAAAATAGCTTCTCTGGTTATTTGCTCAGCATACAGATTGAATAAATATGGTGAAAGAATAAAACTCTGGCATACACCTTTCTTGATTTTAAACCATTCCGTGTTCCTTTGTTCTGTTCAAATAACTGCTTCTTGGTCTATGTACAAGTTCCTCATGAACACAATTAAGTGTTTTCGGAATACTCACTCTCCACAACGTTGTCCATAGCTTGTCATGATCCACACAATCAAAATCCTTTGCATATGCAATAAAACACAGGTAAACATCTTTCTGGTATCCTCTGCATTCAGCCAAGATCCATCTGATGTCAACAGTGATAGCCATCATTCCACGTTCTTGTTTAAATCCAGCTTGAACCTGTAGCAGCTCCCTGGCAATGTGCTGTTGCAGCCATTTTTAAATTATCTTAAGCAAAATTTTACTTGCATGTGATATTAATGATATTGTCCAGTGATTTTCACATTCCATTAGGTCACTTTGAAATGGGCACAAATACGGATCTCTTCGATCAGTTGACTGTGTATCTGTCTTCCAAATTTCTTGTCGTAGATGAGTGAGTGCCTTCAGTGCTACATCACATTATTGAAAGATTTCTGTTTGTATTCCATCAATTCCCACTGCCTTGCTCTTTGCCAGTGCCCTCAGTACACTTTGAATTTCTGCCTTTAGTACCTACCATTGGCTCTTGATTATATGCTATCTCTTGAAATGGTTGAACATCAACTATTTCTTTCTGGTATTGTGATTCTGTATTCCTTTTATCTCTTTTTTATGCTTTCTGCATCATTTAACATTTTGCCCATAGAATCCTTTAGTACTTCAAGTCGAGCCTTGAATTTTTTCCTCAGTTCTTTCAGCTTGAGAAATGCTGAGCATGTTCTTCTCTTTTGATTTTTTAACTTCATTATATTATAATATTTGACTTTGTTTTCTCGAGCTGCCCTTTGAAATTTTCTGTTCAGCTCTTTTGCTTCCTCATTTCTTGATTTTACTTTAGCATCTTTATACTGGAGAGCAAGTTTCAGAGTCTCTTCATTTTGTTCTTTTCCTTTCCTGTCTTTATGACATTTTGCTTTCTTCCTGTGTGATTTCCCTGATGTCATCCCACAACTCTGCTGGTCTTTCTTTAGTCATTAGTGTCTAATGCACCAAATGTGTTCTTGAAATGATATCTAAATTCAGGTGGGATGTGTTCAAGGTCAAGTTTTGGCACTTGTGGACTCATTTTCATTTTCTTTAGCTTTAGCCTGAACTTGCAGATGAGCACTTGATGTTCTGTTCCACCATCTGCTCCTGGCTTTGTTTTGAATGATGATATGGAACATTTCCAACGACTCTCCCAGAGATGTAGTCAGTTTGATTTCTGTGTTTCCTATCTGATGATTCGCCTTTTAGGTTGTTTAAAAAGATAAGAATTTTTTGTTATCATGAGATTTCCAAGATTGTTTCTATCAGCAAGGCCATATTTTCCAACTACTGATCTTTGTTCCAACCAGGCAATCTAATCACCAGTAATTATCAGTCCATCTTAATGGTACATGTTTGATCAGTTTTAGACTGAAGAAGTTGGTAGAATTCTTCAGTTTTTTTCATCCCTGGCTTTAGTTGGTTGGTACACAAATTTGAGTAATAGTGGTATTGACTGGTCTTCCTTGTAGGTATATGGATATCGTCCTATCACATACAGCATTTATCTCAAGATAGATCTTGAAATGTTCTTTTAGATGATGAATGCAATGCCATTCCACTTCAATTTGTCATTCCCAGCATAGTAAACCATATGATTGTTACATTCAAAATGGCCAAGACCATCTATTTTAGCTCTTATGTAAAACCTAGGATGGTATCCTGGTGTGGCACTGTGGATTAAATATGCTGGACCACAAAGTCGGCTTGAACTGCAAGGTCAGTGGTTCAAGCTCACTAGCCACTCCTTGGAAACCCTATACAGGGTCGCTATGGGTCGGAATCAACTTGATGACACTTAACAACAACAGCAACAAAACTTAGGATATGTATATTTATGTATTCCATTTCATTTTTTACAACTTCCAATTTTCCTAGAGTCATACTCCGTATATTCCATGTTCCGATTATTAATGGATGTTTAGAGTTGTTTCTCCTCATTTTGAGTTGTGTCCCATGACACAGATGAATGCCCCAGAAGCTTTACTCCATTCTTACCATCACTGTCAACTGTAATTTAAGGAGGCAGCTCTTCCCCAGTCATATTTCGAGTGCCTTCTAACCTAAGGGGCTCATCTTTCATCACTATATCTCAGTATTTTGGTGCTAGTCATAGTATTTCAATATTCTGGTGCTATCTGACAGTGTTCCATGGCTATTCATAAGGTTTTCAGTGACTTAACACTCAGAAGTAATCCGCCTCTCCTCCTTCCTAGTCTGTCTTAGTCTGGCAGTTCAGCTGTATCCTGTCCAAAGTGGGTGTATCCTTCTGGTATTTAAAGTACCAGTGGCATAGCTTCTGGTATCACAGCAACATGCAAGTCAACACAGTATGACAAACAGATGAGTGGTGGCAGAGATTTGTACACCCTGACAGTCACACAGGACTAGTATAGTATAGCCTCAGACCTCACACACACACACACAGAAAGAGAGAGACTGGTACACCTCACACCTCACACACACAGGCTGGCATACCATCACACACAAAAGTTGATACACCTTCACAATCACATAGGCCTGGCATACTTTCTCACATTGGCTGGCCCATTATTGGGCTTTAGCAAGTGGTTATAGAACAGATGGCAAACCCTTAAAATCTAGCAAGCAGGGAGCTTGGGACAACCCACTTACAGACTACAGCTCTTCTCCTCCCCGTCCAGGATGCTCTCCCAACCCATGGCCTGCAGGTCGGCTCCTCCCTGGAACTTCTACACTGGGTACGGGATTGGGAAGTGGGGATTGATCACAGGCCTGTCTCCCAAATGAGGCCACTCTCACCATAGGTACAGGTGGACACTGACTGCCTAGGTGTCCACCACAACACCCCTTCCACTACATGGCCACCTTAATGAATTGGCTCTAGGAGTAGTAGCACCTTTTGTACCTCTCTGAGTTCCCACTACAGCTATCTGCTTGAACCCTGAGCTGCCAGTGCCCATGCCCCAGCTAGGATGGCCCACTGCTTCCCACTTCCTTCCTCCACTTCTCTCTTCCTCCTCATTGTCCATTCCTTGTCTTATTCCCCACCTCTTCAAGCATACAGTTCCGGACAGCAGAGAAGTGATTCAGGGCAGTGAATTGGGCTACATGGGGCCCTAGCTTCTCTGGCAGCAGCATCTCCCAGTTTAGGGGAAAGGGACATGGGAGGGAAAGGAATGTGTGAACATTTCCAGGGCAGAAGGAAAGGAAACCACGGTGATAGGAGTCATGGAGACCAGGCTCCTGAAAAGAGAGGGGCAATATGCAGAGTCAGAGGGACTGAATCTGGAAAGGTGGGAGGAAAGCAGATGACTACTGCCCAGGTAGAAACTATGACTATGACAGGCTGTCCTCATCAGGTGCTAGATGCTGTGCTGCCAGTCATGAATAAAGCCCATGGCAGTGAGAAGACAGTCTTCCGGGCCAGGTTCAGCTCCATCACCGACACAGACATCTGCAATGCCATGGCTCGCCTGGGGGAACCTGACCACAATGAGGCACTCTCAGTGGACGCCCGTCAGGAGCTGGACCTGCGCATCGGCTGCGCCTTCACTAGGTGCCACCCTTCCCAAGCTGGATGAACCCTGTGTACCCCGTTACTCCTGCCTCCCATTCCCCAGCCCAGTGCGAATGAGTCTTGGCTCCCAGCATGCCCCCCACCCCTGCAACCAGCTCTATGTGCTATGTGCCCCACTCCCACCCCTAAGCCTTAACCAGCCCTGTGTTCTTTGACACCCCACCCCACCAACTGGAATGAGCTTTGTGCCCCTGCACATCCTATCCTACCCCCGAGCCTGAATGAGCCCTTAGCCCCATATCCATCCCCAGGCCCCCAGCTAGAGCTCTGTGTGTCCCAGCTGCACCTCGATAAGCCAGATAAACCCTGTGTATCCTGGCTGCTCCCAGCACAGTAGGAAGGTGCCCTGCGTACCCTAACCGACCCCCCACACACACACATACACACACTAGAGCTGCCTCTGTCTGTGATCCCTGGGCCATTTAGGAGCCTCAGATTAGCAACGGAGTATTAGAGGCCATTTTCAATGTTTTTAAAACCTTAAGGAAAACTATATTTTGCTGAAATAAGAGCTCACAGGTAAGAGAGAGGGCACGTAAGGTAATAAAAGGGGTTCCCTAGCCCACTGGCCATAAGATAAGAACCTCTGCCCTTCTCCCTCTCTGACATGCACCTACAACATGCATATGCAGTGGGTCCTCCCTATCTGTCCACTGTGGGGGCCACATGGTTCATCTAAGTGTCAGCAGCTGTGGCTGGCCTTCTCCCTGTGCCCAGAGCACAGAGTCTAGGTTCATAATGGTGAGAAGGGCAGCATCTTAGTAAATACGTGACCAGATGTCTTCCCCCCACCCGCTTCCTACCCAGATTTCAGACGAAATATTTCCAGGGGAAATATGGTGACTTGGACAGCTCTCTCATCTCCTTTGGGCCATGTCAGACTCCCACCCTGGGGTTCTGCGTGGAGAGACACGATAAAATCCAGTCCTTCAAGCCTGAGACATACTGGGTGCTGCAGGCCAAGGTGCACCTTCCTTTCTCTTGGGACCAACACTCCAGGTTTAGGGGTGGGGGTCTGTGAGTCCAGAAGGATTATCATGTACAAACCCACTTCAGTGGAATTGATTCTGATTCATAGTGGAGCTGCTCTGTAAGGCTGTTAGTATGTACAGGGCAGACAGCAACCCTGTGCTGTCTGGAGCCCAGTGTGGGCACAGAGCCAACACATACCTCACAGGCTAGGAAAAGGCTTTTGAAATCACCCGGGCCTGTGAGTCCAGAGCTGTACTGGTGCTAGGATATGGTAGTCATGCACTGTACGCCCTGTCGTATGGCAGCGTGTTGGCCATCATTATGGAGGCACAGGAGGACTTGGTGGACAGCAGTCTGTAGCCTCATGAAGCTCAGTGTATGTCTACATAGTGAGTAGGGGATTGAGATCCACAGGTCATTGCCTTCCCAGTGTGAATGAGGGCCTTTGAAGTGTTTACTTGTCTCCACATAGTACCCCACTGCCGATTCCAATTCATAGCAGCTTTATAGGACAGAGTAGGTTTTTGAGGCTGTAAATATTTATAGAAGTAGACTATCTCATCTTTCTCCCATGGAGCAACTGATGGCTTCAAACTGCTGTCCTTTCAGTTAGCAGCCCAGGACTCCTCATTGTGCCACCAGGGCTGTGTAGTGGTGGCTATATTTTAAGTACTTGGTGAAAACATAGACTTTTTACAGATGGACAGGCACAGTAGCTGCAACAATGAATTCAAAGACAGCAAAAATCATGAGGTTGGCATAGAACTGAGCAGTGTTTCTGTTCATGAGGTCACTGTGAGTCGGAACTGACTTGACAGCAAGTACCTAACAACAGTATAGTATTAACATCTGGTGTTTGAGGTTCGAGGTTACTTCTGAAGAAAGCATACTGTGGGTTCACCACCACCCCTGTAGCATCTACTCCCGCTCAGAACAGGGCAAGAGTTCTAGTCAGGATGTGGGCTGCATGCCTCACTGCCCCTCAGGGCCAGAGAGGCACAAACGTGGACACCGTGCACAGGAAGACGTTAGAGCATGGACAGCTGGTCCCAACCCAGAACCTCAGTGGTAGGGCTGAGCTGGGCATGGGCTTGTTTAAGTTGGATACCTGGGAACACACTCGGCTCTGGAGGGGAATCAAGGCCAACCAGAAGGCCTTGGCCAGCTTCTGTAGTTGGGCCTAAGAATTGGACTGACTGCCACAAGTCAGGTTTTCAGCCTTGATAAATGTCTCAAGCATCCTTTCTTCAAAAGAAAGCCTCCATGGGAGCACCCTGGAAAGATTTAAAACAAGTCAGCACTACCCTGGTTGACATCCATCCCACAGGGCCCCACCAGTAAGAGCTAGGTGGGGAGGAGGAGAGTGGTGCCACTTCGAGCCCTCCTCCAGGAAGACCATCGGTATGGTTTCAAGGGTAGACCTAGAGTGAGAGCAGCTCTATCTTGGCCAGAGGCTAGGCCTCCGCTTGTCTATCCGCACTCCTGAGAAGACATAGTCACCAGATACTAGAGGCTGGACTGGCACCTATATGTTTCCTCACCAGTTCTTTTTTCCTTCATTCAGGTAAACGCTGACAAGGACAGAGCACTCCTTCTGGACTGGGATCGTGTGCGCGTGTTTGACCGTGAGATTGCACAGATGTTTTTAAACCTGACGAAGCTAGAGAATACAGCCCAGGTGTGCCTGCCCTGCCACACTTGGCACATTTTAGCTGGTGGGGAGGGAGATGGGGGGAAGGGTGGATTTAAGAACCTCTGGTTGGAGATGTATCCACATGGCTCTCCCCCTTCCTCAAATACAAACATTTTTGGTCACTCAGCTCATCATACAAGGAGTCTTCAAAGAGTTCATGGAAAAATGGGATTAAAAATAATGGAATTTGTCCATTAACTTTTTGAAGCCCTCTTGAATACCTAACGTAATATTGCTTGTAGCTGTCAAGTTGTCCCTAACTCATGATGATCCTGTGCAGAATGGAACAAAACATGCCATCTCCATGATTGGTTGCAGATCAGACAATTGTAATCCATAAGATTTTCGTTGGCTGATTTTTAGAGGTAGATCCCCAGACATTTCTTCCTATCCCACCTTAGTCTAGAAGCTCTGCTGAAACCTTTCCAACACTGTGGCAATATGCAAGCCTTATGAGTGAATTGAAGGAGCTCTGGTAGCGTAGTGGTTATGAATCGGGCTGCGAACCTTAAGGCCAGCAGTTCGAAACTACCAGCCGCTCCGCGGGAGAAAGATGAGGCGTTCTGCTCCCGTAAAGATTTACAGCCTCGGAAACCCTGTACAGGGTCGCTATGGGTCGGATCCGACTCGATGGCACTTAACAACAACAACAATGAGTGAATTGGGAGACAGTGGCTGTCCCAAGCCTAGAGGACCTACCCTGCTTGGTCTGTGTGGGGTTGGGTGATGAGGGGTTGGTGGGTTGTGTGGATTGTTTCTGAAGCTGTTTGTTTGAGAGATTGAGATGGCTTGCCAACCCAGTGCAGCCCTCACAGCTGTATTCTTTAAACCTCCATGGTATTTTAAAAATTTCAAACCAGGTACCAGTATTAAAAACTTGAGACTTCACATAAAAATCCTGATTTCTGGCTGCTCTCAAGCAACTGAAAGATGTAGCAGAGCCATCAGGCCCAGGTGACAGCTTGTCTGCAGCCAGAGATGTTGGTCACCCCAGTCCCTCCTTCAGCCTCACATACCACATCCTCCATGCTATAGGTGGCCTGACCATGGTTTCTGTAACATCAAGGCAATTCTGACTTTTTATGACCCCTTGTATATCATAGCAGGACTATGTTCCATAGAGTTTTCAGTGGCTGATATCTTAGAAGTAGATCCACCTGGCTTTGCTGGGATTTTGAATTTGTAATCCTTTCCCTCTCTCCCCATCCCCTCTCTTTTTACTGTGGTGAGTATGTAGGTAACAGAGGAATCCTTGTGGCACTGTAAGATAAGCACTGGACTGCCAACTTAAAGGTTGGTAGATCAAACCCACCAACTGACCCACAGGAAAAAGATGAGGCTTTCAGCTGCTATAAAGATTTACAGCCATGGACACCCTATGCAAGGGTCACTATGCATCAGACCAATTCAGTGGCACATAAGAACAGTTAACCATGGGTTAAGCATAGGCTGCTAACCATAAGGTCAGCAGTTCAAACCCACCAGCCACTCCCAGGAAGAAAGATGAGGCAGTCTGCTCCTATAAAGACTGGTAGCCTCAGAAACCCTAGGGAGCAGTTTTGTTCTATCTTGTCTTGTTGCTATGAGACAGAATCTGGAGGCACTCAGCTTTACTTGCTATGTGGGTCCATATGAAACAAACATCAAACATGCTTCCACCCTACAACCTTCTTTACCCTATTCTGACATCAACCATTCCTCCTACAGCACTAGCTTCACATCTGGGTTTGACAGTCCATTGCAATGGCCACACAGAATCCATACAATATTCACAATTATGGGGTTTATTAGGGAAGTGAACAGGGTGTAATTCAGGATCAAAACCAACTCAGGACACAGTAGTCAGGACCGCTTCTTATCTGCCATACTTGCAGGCACACTTCACTCTTGTCTTCAGCCTCTGAGCCATGTGGTCCCTTGACCTCTACCCTGCTCAGACAAGTGTTACAAAACTCTTTTAGCCAATCTCTGAATGCCTAAAGGACACATTCTGCAATCCAGAGTCCATGGGCCTGGATCCTGCAGCTGCTCTGTCTCTCCATGCCACCTCCTCAGTTGTCACTGCTTTTTCTAGGTAAGGATCTCATGCTCCACTCACTCTTGGTCTTCCTTCTTGATGGTCATGGAATATTCCATTCCTGCTTCTGAGATGGCTCTTTTTAAACCTAGCTAGAGGACAAAACTAACCAATCCCAGCCTGAGTCCTGTATACCTTATTTGTGTGGTCCCACTGTATCACTTGGTGGGAATTTAGAAAACATTAGATAGAAAAGTCATATCCAAGGTACCACATACACCTTTCTATCTCGGGGGTTGAGGAGATTCACTATATAGGGATCTCTGGAGTCAAAGTTTGCACTCCCTCCTGCTTCTGAAATGGCTCATTTAAATCCCAGCAGGATGTTAATATTCACCAGTCACTTCATTAGATCCAAGTATTTACAATCACAATCCTAGTAACCACTCACAGTGAATCATAAAATCTAACAGCATCTTTCTGCGCTTTATTACCCAGACCTATCAGAAGTTTACAAAGGCTACGGCTAAAAGAGATACTAAATAATTCACGTCACCACAGACATTCATTACATTCCATTACCTTTAACAGAAAGGAGCTCTGGTAGCATAGTGATTATGAGTTGAGTTGCTAACCTCAAGGTCAGTAATTTGAAACTACCAGCCATTCCACAGGAGAACGATGAGGCTTTCTGCTCCTGTAAAGATTTACCACCTCGGAAACCCTGTGCATGATCACCGTGAGTTGAAACCAACTCCGCAGCACATCACCACCACCACCTTAAACAGAAGCTTGTCTTCCCTGAATAGTGTATCTTCTTTTGCCTCCTACCCCACTCTGCTAACCACTATGCAGTCCCTTCCCTAGACTACTCCTTGCTCCTTCAGGAAACTGCCCCTGCAGCATGGTCACTTACTGGTCTTCCTAATTAAAAAAAAAAAAAGAAAAGAAAACATGAACCCCTTGCTTTCCAATCAATTCCGATTCATGGCGACCCTACAGGGCAGAGTAGAACCACTACTTAGGGTTTCTGAGACTAAATCTTTTTCTATAATCTTTTATTGTGAATTGAATGAAGGTTTACAGAGCATATCGGTTTTTTGAAAAATATATTTTATTTCATTTATAGTGATTGTAACCCCATCTATGTACCATCAGTTCACAATATTCTATTCACTTTAACTCTTGCAGCCCTCCCTATGTCCTGCTACTTTCATCTTCCTTCTGACAGCCTCCCTCTTGTATATTACCTACCCCATCACCCAAGTTACCATGTGTCTACCCTCTAGATGGAGAGTAATCTCCCTTCGGTGAATAATCCTCTTTCCGTAACCATCATAGAATGTTTCTTCTATCAAGGAAAACTTTTCTTTTTACAACAGTGGTCTCATAGAACATTTGTCCTTTTGTGATTGACTAATTTCACTCAACATAATGTCCTCCAGATTGTAAGGTGTTTTGCAGACTCATCATTATTCTTCAATGTTGTATAGTATTCCATTGTGTGTATGTATCAAAGGTTGTTTTACCATTCTTCTGTTGGAGAAAGCACCATACCTTTTTCCACAGTGGTTGCACCATATTACCAGCAGTGTAGGAGAATCCCAGTTTCTCCACACCTCACCAACATTTGCTGTTTTCTGTTTATTTGAACTTTGCTATTAGCTAGAGTAAGATGATAATCTCATCTTACAACACTCATTTTTAAATACTTAACTTATGAAGATCAAAGACCACAGCCAAAATCCTCACAGGACAAAAATCCTCAGTACTGTACCAATAAACAACATCCATATAAATGGAGAAAAGATTGAAGTTGTCAAAGACTTTAATTTGCTTGGTCAACCATCAACACTCATGGAAGCAGCAGTCAAGAAATTAAACAACATATTACATTAGGTAAATCTGATGTACAAGACCTCTTTAAAGTGTTCAAGAGCAAAAATTGTCAGTTTGAGGACTAAGGTGTATTTTATACCTTAGCCTCACCCAAGCCATGGTATTTTCATTAACCTTGTATGTATGTGAAAGTTGAACAGTGAATAAGGAAATCCATAGAATTGACGGATTTGAGTTATGGTATTGGAGAAGAATATTAAAAGTACCGTGGACTGCCAAAAGAACAAACAGATCTGTGTTGGAAGAAGTACAGCCAGAATGCTCCTTAGAAGGCAAGATGGTCAGACTTCGTCTCACACTTCGGACATATTGTTGGGAGGGACCAGTCACTAGAGAAGAATATCATGTTTGGTAAAGAGGGTTGGAGACAAAGAGGAAGACTCCCAACAAGATGGATTGGCACGGTGGCAGCATCAATGGGCTCAAATGTAGCAATGATTGTGAGGTTGGCACAGGACCAGGCAGTGTTTCATTCTGTTGTGCATAGGGCCATTATGAATCGGTACAGTCGATGACTCGGAACAACTACAACAAAGATTATCTCATTGTTATTTTGATGTCTGATGAGATGTCTGTTTTGTCCTTTGTCCACTTTTTAATTGGGTTATTTGTCTTCTTGTTGAATTCTTCTATAAATTTTAGGGCATAGTCCTTTGTCTGATATGTCATTGCCAAACATTTCATCCCAGTCTTGCATTTTCTTTTTACTGTTTTGGTGAAATCCTTTGATGCATGGTGGGATCTAATTTTTAAGAGGTCCCAGTTAATCTATTTTGTCTTCTGTATGTTTTTAGTTATGTTTGATAGTGTATTTATGCAATATATCAGAGTTCCTAAGTTTGTCCTGTTTGTCATTGATGATCTTTATAGTTCAAGTTACATTTAGGTCTTTAATCCACATTTTCATTTTTATATATGGTGTGAATTATGGGCCCTGTTTTCATTTTTCTGCAATTGGACTTCCAGTTTTGCCAGCACCATTTGTTAGAGTCTGTTTCTTCCCCATTTAATGCATTTTGGTCCTTTGTCAAAGATAACTAAATGTACGTGGATGGATTTACTTTTAGGT